AACAATACATAAACACATGAAACAAATTGAAGAAATAGTTAATTAAATTTCAATTTGAATCTAACAAACATCAAACTAACAAATATTCACTTAAACAATAATACAAACATGAAATGAATATGAAAACAACTAATTAAACTTCTATTTTGAAATCTGAAAATTAATTTAACAAAGCACATGAACATGAACAAAACAAACATACATACGGACATTCGCCATAGACATGAACAAAACAAACATTCGCCAATTTTAGATTCGAAAAATATCAAAACAAAATACGGACAAAATAAAACTCAAAAAAAAAAAAGATCTACTAACCGAATCGTACAACATACATACGGACTGTTTCGACGACCCTCGACCAAAGCTCGACCACACGACGACGAACGAACTTAAGAAGCCAACTGAAGCCGCGCCGAAGCAGCAGCAGCAGTTGTCGCGACAGAAGTGAAGGAACAAGGCAGCTGGGGAAGAAGACGATGGCGGACAGCAGTAGCTCGGAGGTGACACAGAAACTGTGCACGCGTGGGGCTGCTAGAGGTCGACGACGTGACGACGGAATGGAGCAGCAGCTCGGAGCAGATGAAGCTCGGAGAAGATGAAGGTCACAGAACAGGAGTAGCTGGTCGACGACGAACTCGACGGAACAGAGCAGCAGCTCGGAGCAGATGAAGCTCGGAGAAGATGAAGCTCGCAGAACAGGAGCAGCTGGTCGACGACGTCCATGGCGAAATGGGCTGGTCGCGACGGGGTTGTTTGGACGTGACTGAGTTTGGACAATCATGGATGTTGATGGCGAAGCTTAGAGACGACGGGGATGAAGCGGGCAGCGGTGGGTTTCCTAGTTCTTTGGTTGAGGGTTTTCCGGCGATGCAACGGGGAGGTCGACGTGGATGGTGGTGACGTTGTGTTGAAGGAGACGAAGCTACTGGAGCTTAGCCATGGCAGCCATGTATGTGTGTTTTAGAGTTTGGAGAAGAAAGAAGCAAAAGTGGGGGGGGATGACTTAGGTCATTTTTAGGGTTTCTTCTTCTTTTTTTTTTGTTTGTAAAATAAGAGGGGTGTTGGGTTATGGACTGGGTCGACCCAGTTCAAAATGGACTGGGTTGTAGGGAAGATTGGGCCATTTTTTGGGCCTATGGCTTGAAATCGAAGAAGAGGCCCAATTCCGACTTTCTTTATATTTTCGCTCTCTTTCTTCTTTTATTTCTCTAAAACTAAATTATAAAAATACTTAAACTATTATTAAGAATTAAATTAAGTTATAAAAGCGCAAATTAACTCCCAATAACAATTAACGCACAATTAAGTAATAATTAAGCATAAAATTGTATATTTGGACATTAAATGCTAAAAATGCAAACGATGCCTATTTTTGTAATTTTTAATTTTTGTAAAACAAATTTAATTACTAACAATTGTAGAATTAAATCCTACATGCAAAATGCGACATATTTTTGTATTTTTTATTAATTTAGCAAATAAACACGCACAGACAAATACAAATAATTATTCAAAATATCACAAAATTTCACACCAAAGAAAAATCATTTTATTTTTGAATTTTTTGGGAGTAATTCTCATATAGGGCAAAAATCACGTGCTTACACATGGTATTATCTTGTCCTCGATTTGCATTTGCGCAAGAACTTGAGGGTGGATAATACACGCGCCGCTTCAGTCGTCTACCATTATTCTTTTAATATTAGTGTTTGAAATACGTAAAGTAATAACGAGGGCATCAGAGTGAGGAAAGATCAAAACGTTGGTATCTGACTTATCGAAGATGATACTTTCTCCGAGGTCATCATACCGCTTGTGGATGATTGACCGCTTTAGCTTATGCATGGTGGCAAACTTTATGTGGTTGATTGTTGTTTCATCGCCTCCGCCGATGATCATTTGAATGGTGCGGGTAGGAGAGGGTGACTTTGGAGGGCCTTGGTGTTGTTCTCGTCCACGGCCAAAGTTGGCTTTTCCTCGATCACTCATCAGCTCTTTCAGGTGTCCTTGGTTTAGCATATTCATTACTTCTTGCCGTAGAGCTATGCAGTCTTCGGTTTTGTGACCCCGTTCCTGGTGAAATTCACAAAGGACATACGACTTTCGAGTACTTGGGTAGGACTTCATCTTTTGCGGTATTTTACCTTTGTGCCAAGCTTCTCTAGTGCGTACACTACTTCTGAAAGAGAAACACAAAAATTGTGAGCGGACAAGAGTGAAGGCATACCTCTTTCACTTTACTGAGTCCCTGTATGGGGTCTGGACGGCCCTTCCGTATGCCAAGAAGGTGGTGGAATGGGTGCTCTGACATAGGGTTGATGCCTGTCTCGATTGAGGCGCGGGCCTGATATATCTCTTCGACTGTCATTACGACGGTCTTTCTTCAGCTCTGTCTGGATTGATGTTAAACGCTAGGTTGGACCATTGAGATCGTCATCATCTGCTCTCACCTCGGCGCAGTAAGCGTTGTGGATTTCTTCCTAGGTGGTAGGAAGGTATTTCATGAGCCTGCTTAACAATTCCTGGTCGCCCTCGACCCGTTCCTGTTCAACCCGTTTTGGAAGGCTGATACCGCCATCCCCTCTGATACATTAGGTAAACTCATTCTCACCCTATTAAACCGAGCGAGGAAGTCCTTGAGTCCTTCGCCAGGCGATTGCCTAACGACGAATATGTCGTTTACCCTGGCCTCCGATTTCTTAGCTCCGACATGGGCGATGACAAACTTGTCTACTATTTCCTCGAATGTTGCTATAGACCGGGCTGGTAGTTGTGAGTACCAATTTAGGGCTCATCCGGTTAAGGTTTCGCCAAACCTTTTTAGCAGCACTGATGGTACTTTCTCCTTTGATAGGTCGTTGCCTTTTACTGCTGTGACGTAATGAATGATGTAATCTTCTGGGTCTGTGGTGCCATCGTATATCTTCAAATATGGTGGCATTTTGAAGGTTTTGGGTATGGCATGTGGGGCTTCCTCCTCGCTATATGGTTGTTCGGCGAACCAGACGACATCCCGCTTTGGTAGCAACTTCGGGGCGCCCGGTATCTTATTAACCCTTTCTTAATGTTCTCTCATCTGGTTGCGGAGTGACTTATTTTCATTTTCCATTTCTTCCATTTTCTTAAAATGGTTGTTAGTGCATCATTGCCTGCATCAACAGTGGTGTGAGTGTTACTTGATGGGGGAACTGGTTGCTCGTCGGTGGTCATTATGATATCTACTGGCGCGATATTTCAATTTGCCCTTTGAACGGGTTTGTCGAGTATGTCATTGAGGGTACTTGTCAGCCACTCCTCCAATAACTTCTTCACTGCTGGTGGTTCCTCCTCAACCGCGGATGTGGAAGCTCCCCTTTCGCGTGAGGCGGTTACACTTGCGTGAGGAGGAGGTGAATCACTTCGCATAGGTGTAGCAGTTGGTGTCACATTCTCATCACCTCCTCTGTTATCCTCGTTGATGGTATCTAAGATGTTGGTAGTGACACCCATTATTGCTTTCTACCTTTCATCTCCTTTTCCTGTCATTGTTAGTTTGTGCAAACGAAGAAAAGATGGCTATCTCCCCCTTTTTTGATCTAGAAGAAACAAAATTTTTAACTAAAAGCTCCCCATAGATGGTGCCAAATTGTTTGACCAAAAAGTATTGAACCTTTTAGTTAAATCAATTAAAGATAAAATGGATGGTGAATCTTAGTTAAGAATAATAAAATCTAGACCAAATGTTATGCAAAGCCGATTAAGATAAACATTGTTAATCAATGTGTTTGTACTAATTAGATGCTTGTAAATGCAACAACGTAAATGTGCAATAAATGTGGATGATGACAATGAATATAACAAGAATGAATCTACCACCCAATTATCATAAGACTTGAATGATTCTTTTCTCTGATAGCAATGTGTAGAAAAGAGAAATAAAGAGGATGCAAGGATCTTTGGATCTTGTGAATAAAAAAGAAAAATCGTATGCTTGAATAGGATAATCAATGAACGAGACAACCGTTGTATATTCTCTCAGGTCAACCTTTTATAATGTGTTTTTCTCCTAAAGTGAAGATCCCTCCTTTTTGTTCTCTATCTCCTCATATTTATAGGGGATATTTCCCAAAACCCTAAAAAGTACAAATTAAGGAATATCCAAGGGAATATTCCTTGTATCCGTAACTGAACCTATGCTACTGTTATTTCTTTATCTCAGTTGTCCATCTTTCTCATTGGCCTCCTCGAGAGCAGCCTTTAGTTATTACACCGCGGTCCACCCCCGTCCTTGATCTCCCTCATCTCTTACTGTCTAGTCGCCAAATTTAGACCAATACACTATTCTGTCACAAAAAAAATCACATCAAAAGAACAGAATGGCCTATATGGCTCCTAGACTTGTGTCACTTTGTCATGTCAGTCCCCAAGCTTATCAATTTGCCAATTGAACATTTATACTCCTTCAAATCGTGTATAATAAACGCTTATGATAAGAGGTTTCCAGTGCGTGCAATACAATCTCCTATCTGTAGGATGCCATGTCAAAAAAATTAACCCACATAGGCTCTAGGTCATTTATTATCGCTATATAGGAAAATTAAACGGGAGAATGATTATTAACCCCCCAACCCAAATTTTTCCCTCATTTTACACTTACCTATTTAGTTTAGGGCTTAGAAATTATTGAACCACTTCTATCTCTCCTTTTGGGGTAGGTTTCTTCATCTGTTCTTTATTTTTTGACATGCTTGAGACAATGTCAAATTTGAATTTCCAATGGCATTTACGGGTAACAATTCTAGCATGGAGCATAACTGAATTCGAAGAAAAATTAGAAGCCATGAAAAAACCAACAAATGCTCTGAACGCAATCAAATAGGGAACTAATTATTTCACTAAAGCACATACCTAAGCTCATGTTTTTTATAGGGTGAAATTGGAGATGACAATTTTGATCATCAATGTTGGGAAAGACCAGAAGACATGAGAATGCCAAGGAATTCGTGCAAAGTTGATGAACACCATCCTGGTTCTGATCTTGTTAGTGAAACTGTTGCTGCTTTTGCGGCTGCTGCCATAGTGACATTTTAAGATATGCAGCAACTCCACAATAATATAAAGGTTCCTTCTTCATTGCTGAAGGAGAAGACACAACAGTAGCTTATTTCTTGCTAGAGAAGAAGAAAAAAATCGACCTTCAAAAGAAAAGGAGATGGCAGAAATTGATGGGCAATGAAGAATCCCAGCAAAGAAATTCTGTTTTTCACGGTTGAAGCTAACATGAGAAAGAAGAAAGCATCAGATTTGGATAGAAATCAACTTCTATAATGTTCAACAATGGAGAATGAGGTAGAAAGAAGAAGATGACTGTCAAATAGGCCATATTATTACTGTTAGGACTTTTTCAACTGCCCTCACGCCCCCTTACATACGTGTGAATCACACACTAAAGCCAAATATGACACATAGGATCAGCAACCTGACATAAATGTTTATTATACATGGTTTGAAGGGATATAAATATTCAATTGACAAATTAATAAGTTTGGGGACCGGCATATCTAAGCGCACAAATATAGATATCATTTACGCCATTGTGCCAAATTAAAAGGGGATAAAAACGCAGATCACGTTTTTTTTAAAAGGCGATCACGTTCGTCAACAGGAAAGAAAATTGAAAAAGAAATTTAAAAAAAAGAAGCCCAAGACTGATCGAGTTTTGCACCACAAAGCCAAGACAATCTCCTCTCCCCTCCTCGTGTCCACACCCCTCTACTACCCCCTTCGTCAAATCACCTTCCCGTCAGGAAGGGGGTCTTAATTAAGTATTACCCAATAATAAGCTTCAGATCTGTGTGTCTTGTTTGATCCTTTAGCGATGTACGGATTCGAAGCGCTTACATTCAACATTCACAGTGGCTACTTGGAAGCCATAGTGAGAGGTCATAGATCTGGCCTTCTCACTTCCGCTGATTACAACAATCTCTGCCAATGTGAAACCCTTGATGATATCAAGATGCACCTTTCTGCTACCGAATACGGCCCTTATCTTCAAAACGGTCTCTTTTCCTTTTGTATTTGAAGCCTTGTGATCTTGAATTCTGAAATTTGGATGTTTTATAGGCTGTTTGAGTCTATTATAAAGTTGTGATCTTGGTTTGACTTTATTTGGATGTTTTATTTGATGTTCTCCTTGTACCCATTTGACTAAATCTAGGCTTTTGGACAAAATGTGAAATTTGGATGTTTAGGGGGGTCTCTTCTTTTATCATTTGAGTCAATTAAAGCTTTGTTATGTTGAGTTCTGGCTTTAGATATGATTTTAGATGTTTATAGGATACCTTGATCTTTTATTATACGCGAGAATTTGAAGATCGAAGGGTCTGTTTTTAAAATTCACGTAAGCATGCTAGTAATTGACTTTCGATTAGTTTTAGGGTGAATAGTGAATTAATTGATTTCACTGTGGTAGCATGTGCTGCTATTCCATATGATAATGAAAAACTGTTAGCCTTGATTTGAGCAACTCCATAAACAAGCATCTCTTTTTTAAGAAGCAAAATCTGCAAGGTGCAGTGATGCTCAATCAGATCAGTAGCGGACTTTGAATGATTAAGTGAAGATAGCATCTCCTTTTTCATCTGATCAACTTGTGTCGTTCTAGTCTCTGTTCTCCTTTGCTTTTCTTTTTCTTAGGAATGTTGTGAATTGAAAAACTAGATTTGGGATTAAGCAAAAGTATGACTTCTGAAGTTAGGTTGTTTGTACCTTTTGCGGTGGCTGTATTTCTGGTACTCCATAATTAAGATTTTCTCCTCCCTTTTTAATTCTTTTGTGGACTCCTTATATTATTTTAAGAGACATCTGGACGTAACAAAAATAAGAATAGATATCTCTACATAACTTCATTTATCCTCTTATGTTTTTCCTAATTGCTTGTGGACCTTGGATTTTAAAATGTTCATGTTACTTGATATTGGATGGATCACATTGTGAAACAGAGGCCAATAGTGTGAATCCATCCCTTGATGTGATCAGTATTCTGTTTCTAGATGTGGGAATATGCTTGAAGCAAAAAAAAAAAAAAAAAAAAAAAAAAAAAAAAAAGAAGAGAGAGAGATGTTGTTCAGTGTGTTGGTGCTGATAGCACTTTCTGTTGCATTGCTCTTTGGCTCAGTGTTATAATGTTTCTTATTTTCGGTGGCCATCTGCAGAGCCTTCCCCCTTGCATACTACCACAATTGTGGAGAAGTGCACTCTCAAACTTGTCGATGAATACAACCATATGCTTTGCCAAGCCACAGAGCCCTTATCGACTTTCTTAGAGTACATCAGGTATGTTATTATTGGTGTGCTGGGAATGATGGTTTATTTTACTCTGAATTCCACTTTTCATTTGTCCCATAGACACGATAATCATTTTAGAAAACTATGAAATCAGAATATGGGTCTATGCTATCTGTGCATGATGGTTAAAAATCACGTATGTTTAGATAATATGGCATTAGGTGTCCTTGTGTGGCGGTGGCCACATGTCCTATCTTTGTTTCTTGCTCCCTCCATTTGCTAGGGAAACCTATCTATGTTTCTTGCACCCTCCATTTTCTACGGAAACCTATCATTGTTTCTTGCTCCCTCCATTGGTGTATTATTTGTGGGAGATGTTACAAAAGAAAAGAAGAAAAGATGAGAGAAAGGTGCTGCTCGGTAGGAAATTAATGGTACTACCACATCTATCCTATATTTTGTGATGGCACTGCTGCTTTTGGAAATCAAGGTTATCATTTTTTGAGTTGAAATTAACAAAAACTTTTGAAAAGAATGATGATAAGTGCTTGAGCATTTCTTTTGTAGAAGTTGAAAGAATTATAATTGAAATAAATAAGTTAGAACCAAAAAGTTAAAACTATAGCAGATGAATTGGGATGGAGGAAGAATATATAAGGTCTCTAACGAAGTAAAAAATCCAGATGGTTGCTAGGTGATCATCTTTGGCCTCTCAAAAAATGGAACTGCGAAATATCGTAGCATTAAAGTGACCAAGCTGCATCAACTTTACCCGGATGACCTTTCAATATCTCGTCCATTCATATGCAATAAAACATATATACAAGGATAGCCATCATAGGTTAGGGGATAGCTTCGTATACCTGTTTGGCTCTTCTCCCTTGCGCCTTCTCTCCATACACATAGAGAACTTCTGACTTTTGTGCATCATCAAATAACTAGCTTCGCCTTCACAATGTGTGATGGAGATGATTTAACTTTTCCTTCCATTTAACAAAAGGGCAGCAGTTCAACAACCTTTTCCTTTTCTTACACTATATGCAATAAGGGATGCTTCCCAAATTGCCATATGCTTTCCAGTAACGATTGGGATAAAGTGAATATTATATCCCAAATTAGTACGTAAATGTGTATGAAACTTTCCTCTTGTGCATATTGTGAGTTGGACTGCAAGTAATAGTCACCATGGAAAAACGGATATTTGAACAAAACCTTGTGAGTTGCACTTAAGTGCTCCTAGTTTTAGATAAAGCATGAGCAATAATATAGCCTTGGTATGCTAGTTTTAATTGGAGCAAGCTTAAACAGCTCTCCTAGTCTATCATCTTTGATTTTCGCAACTTATCTCCAAAGAAAGAGACGGGCACTACTTAAATGATCAAGCTCATGGCTTAATGTGGTGTTTTCTATTATGCTTATTGTTTCTGTTGCTAACTAATTATTGTTCTACATGCGTTTAAGTGTGCTGCTGGTTAATTGAGTGAGCCTGACGTGTCTTATGGAATCATATTCATCTAGCTTATTGTTTACCTCTTTCTGGTCTATATGGTTGTACCTAAGTTGTGTTATACCTTCATATGTTTCAGATATGGTCACATGATTGACAATATTGTCTTAATTGTGACTGGAACTTTACATGAGAGAGATGTTCAAGAATTGCTGGAGAAATGCCATCCTTTGGGCATGTTTGACAGGTAGTGTTCATAATACCTCTCTCTGGCTGTTAAATAGCTGAAACTAATCAGTAGCATCTATTAACTTTCCTAACTTATTTCCACAGTATTGCTTCCCTGGCAGTTGCACAGAATATGAGGGAGCTTTATAGGCTGGTGCTTGTTGACACACCCTTGGCTCCATACTTCTCTGAGTGCATTACTTCAGAGGTATGAAATGCTTCCCGCTTATCTTTGTTTATACTTCTAGCTTCCTTCAGTATGAACCTTTTCTATGCATGCAGTTCTAGTGTAGAAGGATGTTGCGCTTTTAAGTAGTTAATCAGTATCTTATGTCCACTTAATGGGTCCTTGTAATTCATTCATTATTTACATGCAGCTTTTAAGGATATACTTAATATGTCAGTTTTTGTTCATTCCAAGTAGAATGGCTATGAATATATTGAGTATTTTATTTCTTAATCAACTGTCTTGAATCAGTTACTCTTATCAGTCTTGTTAATCAATTGTCTTGCATGAGTTGCTCCTGTCAGTTTGCTTTCCGCCTTGCCCATGTTTAAATATTTCCTTTGTCAATGGAACTTATTTCATGCAGGACTTGGATGACATGAATATTGAGATTATGAGGAATACTCTATATAAGGCGTACCTTGAAGATTTCTACAGATTTTGCCAGGTAATCATTTGTTGTACAGTTTTGTACCATATGTTTATACTTTTAAATACTGATCCCTTTCCTCAAAACTAAAATTACATGTCCTGTTACTCTTGTCTGATATGAATATATTGTCAATAGAAACTAGGTGGTGCTACTGCAGAGATCATGTCTGACTTGCTTGCTTTTGAGGCGGACAGGAGAGCAGTTAACATCACCATAAACAGGTATGTCATGGGTTCATGATTTCTCTGAATCTGGATACTACTGATTGTATATCAGGTTATAATTTTTCAACTACCAACTGGAATTTGTTGATGCAGCATTGGCACTGAACTAACACGTGATGACCGTAGGAAGTTGTACTCTAATTTTGGCTTGCTGTAAGTTTATGCACTTTAATCTTTTACGTTGTTGAGTCATATCCGACATTGGAGACCTCTTTTTTTTCTGACACTATTTGTGTTGAATAGTTATCCTTATGGTCATGAGGAACTTGCCATCTGCGAAGATATAGATCAGGTATTTTACGTGTAACTTTTGTTTTCCTTCGTTTTTCTAGAACCTTCTTGTATATGGAGCTTCTATATAGTTAGATGGGTGCTAGTATTCTGTCTATACTCTATTGCATGAAGTTCTACTTCCTTACCATACTCGTTGAAAAAGAAAAAGGGTGAAGTAGCATTCAGCACTGAGATGACAGATCAGTGAAGCAAAGAGAGAATTATTGATTTTCTTTGCAGAACTATGGTGGAAGCAATTGATAATTTATCTGATACAAGTTTAGTGGCTAAACCCGAAGTTGAGGCTTATCCTGTATATTTCCTCGTACTTGTAGGTCCGTGGTGTCATGGAGAAGTACCCTCCTTATCAATCCATATTCTCTAAGTTGGCTTATGGAGAGAGCCAGATGCTCGACAAGGGTTTTTATGAAGAGGAAGTCAAACGCCTTTGCCTGGCATTTGAACAACAGGTTTTCATACTGTGGAAATTGCTTAACTGTATTTGTGTAGAATCTCCGTGAACATTTTCTTGCTTGTTTGTGAAACAGTTTCTGAAATCATGCAAAAGGATCTTCAATGTGTTCTTTTAAAAGAAAAAAAAATCAATTTTTTAAAGTTTATTCTTTATATTATCTCTGATGGTGTGTTCTTTAAGTTTTCCAAGAATTTTTCTTTTCTTTTTTCAAAAACCTGTCTCAAAGAAGTGGTTCTAGTGTCTTTCAAAGAAAAGTTCTTCCGACAAAACTCACATATCTTCAGGGGAAAAAAACTTGCAACTATCCAAACACGTATATTTTACACAAATCTTTTTTCAAAAAGTTGTTCAAACAACTTAGAATTCCTAAGCACACAGCAGCTTCGACCCCCTAGTCCTCCCAGTTCCCAAATTATACAAGAAAAAAAAGGTAAAGAATGTAAGGTGATATATTATAATCTGTGTACTTCCCTCCCTTATCAAAAAAAAAAAATTATAATCTGTATACTTCCCACACTGATTCTCTCTACTCCTTTATTGCAGTTCCACTATGGTGTATTTTTTGCATATGTAAGGCTGAGGGAGCAGGAGATCAGGAACTTAATGTGGATATCTGAATGTGTGGCTCAGAACCAGAAATCCAGAGTCCATGACAGTGTTGTTTTCATATTTTAATGATCTGGTAATTCAGATTATGTGCTCTCCATACTCTTTTGTATATCTGAGTGGCACTGCAGTTTGTCGATTAATATGAGTTATTCTCGGGGTAAAGGCTAACCTCAGCCGTGTGACGGGGGTCATGCTTCGAAAAGTTATCCTCCAGGAAACTTGCCAGTCCTCCTGCGCGCTTCCTGAGTTGATTATTGTAAGTTGCGAAGAGATATTAGCCTGTTCGTTGTGTATCTTCTCTAATAAATTCAGTGTATGCATGGTTGAATATCATCTGGAATGATCCTCGGATTGATGTATCTGGAATTCTCTATTTTTTAAACTTTATCACAATAAAATTCTGCAGTTGTGTTGAATACATAACTCTTTTTGTATGAAATCCTATTTTTATTTATCATGTTCAGTAAAGCTTCGAAGTATTGTTACCTGCTATCTGAGGGCGTACGTGTTAAACTAGTGCAAAGACCGCAGATTCCTATCTCATTATCAATCCAAAACATAGCGTTATTGCTTCATTCGTCCCATTTCTTCTGCATGGTCCGTAGTTTTCTCTTTCTTTGAATTAAAACCTCCGTAGGAGTCATGAAATAGAGGAAAAACGTCACAATTGTTCATGTTGTTAAGTTAAATCCAAAAGAAAATGAATTGGTAAAAGAATTGTAGAACGAGTTGTGTAATTTTTGTTGTTCTCCTTTTGTATTTAGTTTTTAGCTGAATCAGAGTTTATTTATATAAGCTTCATTTCAAGTGGATAAAGAATGCAAACTGGACCAGTCTTCAATTTTCAAGTCTCAAATTTTGCACGAGTCAATATCCATCGTAGTGTCATATACTTGTAACTTGTGTTGGTAAGAATATAATAATAACTTGTAACGAGTTTATGAAGTTATATATTGACAGTGAAAATTAAATACATCCCATTACGATAAGATTAAGGATAGTAATCCAAAAGATACCTATTCATACCCAAAATATGAGCTGCATGCCCCCTTTACATGGAGGTTAAGTGCATAAGTAATGTAATACTCCTATTTTCCGTATATTCTAGTTCTAGTACATACAAAAAAGGTTTAAAGAGAAGTAGGCGTAGATCTATTGGCAGCCAATGTTACAAGAAATTCTCTGTAGTCTCCTTGAGGAATACTTTGACAAATGGCATTTTCAAGATGAACTCCATATTTCTTGTTGAAGGCCACTTCAATATCTTCCATGTCAACCTCTGCCCTACTTACCATTATTCTCATCAATCCTCCTTTATCCCTTGTTGTTCCCTTTAAGCATTCATACAGCATCTGTGCAATGCTCAACTCCACTCGTTTAGTTAATACAACAAGACACTATTTTTAAACCTACTCCTACACTTAAATCATTTTGTTTTCTTATTTTACTTTATTTATATAGAATAGAATGATAAGTGGTAAATCCAAGGTGGTCAAGAGTCGCAAGAATTTGAGAAATTTGAATAGACATTGGTAGTGACAGCACTAATACTCATTGCTGAGTTAAAATAGGATTCCATCTTGAAATTCTTGCACTCTTAAACATAATTATTTTATTTTAAAAAAAGAAGCGTTTAGTGGTCCCATGCCCACCTAGCGTGAGTTCAAATTAGTCTAAACAGAAAAAAGTTGGAAACAGTTTTTACTACAAATAGGAGCCGAGGTGACTCCATCAAAGCATATGAATGAATGAAACACTACCTGAGAAAAATACTTTGCGGGGCTGCAGATGTATTTGACTACTGCTTCCACTGCTTCCTCCAACTCTCCACATTTTCCAAATTTCAAATACTACAATAAAGGTTTGTTAACAATGATTAAAATGAAAAGAAAACAGAATTGCCAACATGATTAAAACTAACAATGTGAAATTAGTGAAAGGAAAAGGAAAAGGAACTTAAACTCTTGAAATATTCCTTTCGATTGTTAAAGTTTACATATTGAAGCGAAGCAAACACAGTCGCAAAAACTCATTATCTTCTTAGACCTACTTACTCCCTTGAACAAGGTAAAAACCAAAACAGAAATATAAAATTACCTATTCATCCTGCCTATTTATGCAACCTAAGGAAAGGAAAACTGCCTGGACCATTTCTTGCTTGGTATGCAAAATGGGAAAAAAAAGGAGATAGAGAAAATCAATATATATCTCTCTAGGGTCCGCATATTGTTTCTCCAAAACAAAAACACTTATTGAAGTCGTCCCCCTGTTCTCTTTTTAATCCAAACACAGGAATTTATTGACTTTGTTTGGAAACTAAGGAAGGGAACAGTAACATTCTTGGTTCTTCTATTTTATTTATTACACTAGAAATGGGGGGGGGGGGGGGGGGGGGGGGGGAGAGAGACAAAAAGAAACAAATACCGTTCAAGCTGCCAACTTTCCTCCTTTCCTATTCTCTCCTAATAGTGTACAGTTTCAGGGAAGACCGTGTTCTGATGGTCCGGCCCTTCCCTGGACCCGGCGCATAGCGGGAGCTTAGTGCAGCGGGCTGTTTTTTTTTTAATCCTTTAAACCATGGTTGTATATAAGCTAAGCTCTTTTTATCTTGGTTTCTTTTAAAGAGGAATTTTGGGAAGAGGAAGCAGTAGAAGAGACTTACTTTAGCATAACTATGGCCATAAATGTGTTTATAACTAGAAAATGTGAGTTTGAGCTGTGGAATGCTTCTTTTACTGAGAATCTCCAAGACAACAGCTTCATCAACAGTGACACCTGTTCTTCCCTCCCCTGTTTGGTATAATCTCCTTGCATCACATTTGGCTATGTGTTGGCTAACATCAGCATTGTGGGCTTTGTGTGATGCTGATAATGCCATTAGTATCTACCAAAAAAATACAACAATTAAAAATCATCATAAATTTTTGAACCCAAAAAAGATTTAAGTAAAAGATCTCTTTATAATTTTAAAAATTAAAAGAAAAAGGTGTTGGTAAAGAGTTTGAGATAGTAATCCTAAAGCACTGTGCATCACATACAGAGCAATCTTTTAGCTAACATTATGCAAGCTTTGTGTGCTTCAGATAATGTAGTCCCCTACACTAATACCAACCAAATTAATCCATAAATAGAAATACACTAATGCAAAAAGAAAAAAAGAATACTATCATAATTTTAAGAAGAAAAACAAATGTTCCCAGAGGAAGGAAAAATGACTTTTCTGAACCAAAAATTAATCATCATAAATTGGTCACAAATTTTTGCAAAAGTTATAGTAAAAAAGAACGAAATAAAAGGGGTTATGAAAGCAATTTTTCACCATACACAGGGAACAAAACCTGAATGTTCCAAGCAAATCAGAAGAAGAAAAGAGGTGGGCGATTTTTTTTTCATCTTCTGAACTATTGAAATGAGCATCAGAAATTGCCCAAAAAAAAAAACATCGAAAAGAAACAAAAAAAGGTTAAAAACAAAAAGAAGAAGAGGATCGAGCGGAATCTCTTGATAAGCCCATATCTACTGAGTAGTATAATGTCTGATAAGCCAAAAGGAAAAGAGAGAAATTTTCCTTACTTTTTGACAAGGATGAGGAGGTTCAATGGAGGAAATGTCATTGTCCAAATGCCTTCTAAACTTTGTCAAATAAGCTTGTCGAATCAGAGCAACATGGCTAGATTTTCTACAGGTAAATATCTCCATTAAAGCTCTGTAATTGACCTCATTCTCCTCTAATGCTTCCCTAGCCACGTCTGCATCACGCTGGTGTGGATTTTTTAACAACATGGCCAACCCCAAAGCTGCCATTGATGAAGTATTACTATTTCTATTAGTAGAAGATGAAATTAGTGGATCATTTCTGTGGATGCTATTTTGGAAACGGAGAAAAGGGTCTTCTCCATACAACTCCATGTATTTTTCTTTGATTTTGTAGCGTTGGTTGGTGTTTAGAGCAGCTAACACATGGATCAAGTGGGTTTTTAGCTCACAACAACTGTGAATCTCTTGACAAATAGTTTCACACATTTCGCTTGATAATGACATTTTATTTTGTTGGTGTAGTGGATTTGTGAAAAGAAGTCAACTAAGGTGAATGGACTAAATGGGCTAACATACTTGGACACCACGGAAAAGATAGCTAGCACTTAGTATTTCCGTTTGTGTGCACCTCCATTATTTTTATCAAATGTTTATTACTTACTTTCACTATATATATGGAATAACATTGTCTATACAGATGGAAGTAAATTACTCTCTCCCGTACATAATAAGTAATTTTTTGGCATTTTTGTGTTGGTCTAAAATAAGTGTCATTTTACACAATCAAGAAAAAATTAATTTTATTTTTTCAAAATTTGCCCTTATTTACATATTCCAATGCATTAAGAATTTTTTTTGGTCGTTAAAAGAACTTATATTAAATTAAACAGTAACATTACAAGGAGCTAGTTGCACAATATTACAAAAGGTGTTATCAAAATGTTGATCAACTGAGTGATCATCAACTGAGTGATCATGTGCCAAAAAAGGTGGGACTGTAGAACAAATCCATCGTGCATGTAGACTTCACTAATCGCTAATAGGCAGTGCCTTGTTGATCAGCCAATAGTTGTGGCAACAAAAAAGCTAGAGGCTGAGTGAATATTGTTGTGGAGTCTTGAGCATGGTTAGACGAACCGTGTTGAGCTAGATAATGTGCAACATAGTTTTGCTCCCTGTATGTGTGGGTAATTGTAGGATTGCGCAGCTGCTGGAGTAAGTACCTGCATTCTATTAAAGAGGATGAGTAATGTAAATTATCATTGTTGAGCATCATTATTACCTCAGTGGAATCCACATTTACTTCCAGTGGGGTGAGTTGATGTAGCCTTGCTAGTTGTAAGCCATGTACTAAGGCATTTAATTCCATGCATGCGGAATTACCTGTGGAAGTTGCACCCATGAACCCCATTAGACATTGTCCCGCTATATTACGGAAAATTCCCCCAACACCATTGGTAGAAGTGGTTACCTTGGCTGCTCCATCGATGTTAAGCTTAATTGTGCCCACCGCTGGGGGATGCCATTTGACATACATGTGTGTACCTGTATGTGTGGCTGTTTTTTTTTATGTTTTGATTAATAAGATAATAAAATTCAGCTGCCTGAGTGAGCAATTGTTGTGTTGAAGGGGGTGATTTAGTGCTTTGATGATTGAAGAGATAATGGTTCCTTAATTTTCATATGTGCCAAACTATGTGTGGGATAAGAGTGGTTGAGGGCAGGTTGTAAGGAAGATCCTTAGCATTTTTTATTAGATAGTTAATGATTTGAATTGGAGGTAAGATGTATGTGTTGCAAGTCTGCAGGATATGATTAATCTTCAATTGAGACCATATGGTGATTGTGAGCGAGCATTGAAATAGGAGATGATTAATGGTTTCTAT